TCGTTCACCTTGTTGTTCTTATATAGAAATGCTATTGATTTTGGAATGTTGGTTTTGTGTCCTGTCACTTTACCGTATTCATTTATTGCTTCAAGAAGATTTTTTTTCTTTCTTGAAGAGGTTTTTGCTATAGGGCATGTGCACTCACCAGACAGACAGAGAGAGACAGAGACACAGAAAGCAAGAAATCACCCCCCAGGGGGGATGGCCACGCCACATTTCCTTCTCCTCCATTCTCCTCTCGGGATCTTGGGCACGCACGCACACGCGCCTGGTGTGAGTTTAAGCCACCGGGTCCAGGCATTGAACTGTGGTCGGCTACATGGGAGTCCAGCGACATAGCCGTTACGCCAACTGCTGGTCCCTTTCTTTCTTTTCTTTTTTTTTTAGAAGTTTTAGCTATAGGGCACGTGCACTCACCAGACAGAGAGAGACAGAAACAGAGAGACAGAAAGTGAGAAATCACCCCCCAGGGGTGATGGTCACACCACAATCCCTTCTCCTCCATTCTCCTCTCGGGATCTTGGGCATGCACACGCAAGCGCCTGGCATGAGTTTAAGTCACCGGGTCCGGGACTCAAATCGTGGTCAACTACTTGGGAGACGTGGGAGTCCAGCAACAGCCATTACTCTAACTGCTGGTCCCACCCCTTCAGAACTTCTTGAAGAGCTGACCTGGAGTTGGTAAATTATTTCAGGTTTTGTTTATTTGAAAATGTTTATTATCTTTTCTTCACAAATGAAGTATAATCTTGCCAGGTGTAGTAATTTTGGTTGAAATTGCTTTTTTTTGTGGGGGGGAGGTTTTTCGTTATAGGGCGCGTGCACTCTCCAGCCAGGCAGAGAGAGACATAGAGACAGAAAGTGAGAAATCACCCCCCCCCCAGGGGGGATGGTAATGCCACAATCCCTTCCCCTCCATTCTCCTCTTGGGATCTTAGGCATGCACGCACACACGCCTGGCGTGAGTTTTAAGCCACCGGGTCCAGAACGCGAACCGCGATCGACTACGTGGGAGTCCAGCAACATAGCCATTACGCTAACTGCTGGTTCCCCCTGCATTGTTTCTGATGAGAGGTCCAATGTTAACCTGATATGATAACCTTTGTAAGTAACTTGACGTTTCTCTCTTGCCAATTTTAGTATCTAGTCTTTGTCTGTGGTCTTGGCCAATCTGGCTATGATGTGGTTTGGAAAAGATCTTGGGTTGATTCTAGTTGAGGTCCTTTATAATTCTTGAGTCTGGATTTTTGATTGCCTCTCAAGGTTTAGAAAGTTTTCTTTTAAGATTTCATGGAATAGGGAACCAGCAGTTAGCGTAATGGCTATGTCGCTGGACTCCCACGTAGTCGACCGCGGTTCGCCTCCCGGACCTGGTGGCTTAAAACTCACGCCGAGCGCGTGTGCGTGCATGTCCAAGATCCCAAGAGGAGAATGGAGGGGAAGGGATTACGGCATGACCATCTGCCCTGGGGGGTGATTTCTCGCTTTCTGTCTCTAGGTCTCTCTCCATCTGTCTGGCGAGTGCACGTGCCCTATAGCGAAAAACCTCTCAAAAAAAAAAAAGATTTCATGGAATAGATTATCAATACTCTTATTATTTTCTTCACCTTCTGGAATACAATTAAAATACAATTATCTGGATGTTGGGACACTTAACAGTATCTAGTATTTCTTGTATATTGTCCTCATTCTTGGTTATTTTGTCAGTCTTTTTGATAATTTTTTCTAGGTCAGAGGTTTTGTCTCCTACATTCTAGATTTTATTTTCTGCTTTTAATACTTTGAGGGAAGTTTTGATTTCCTGTACTACAGTCTTTTCTTAAAGAATTATTTATTTATTTTTATTTATTCATTCATGTATTTTAATTTGACCAGAGAAGGAAAGTGAGAAAGCAAGCCACCAGGTCCGGGACTTGAACCATGGTCGGCCATGTGGGAGTGTCCAGCACCTTAACCACCATGCCACCTGGTGATCCAATAGTCTTCATCTATAGTCTTCGTCTCTAACAATTCTGTTTGATTCTTTCTTTCTTTCTTTCTTTCTTTCGAGAGGTTTTTGCTATAGGGCACATGGGCTCTCCAGAAAGTCAGAGAGAGACAGAGAGACAGAAAATGAGAAATTACCCCCCCAGGGAGGATGGCCATGCCGCAATCCCTTCTCTTTCACTCTCCTCTTGGGATCTTGGGCATGCACGCACACGTGCCCGGCGTGAGTTTAAGCCACAGGTATGGGACTCGAACCACAGTCGACTACATGGGAGTCCAGCGACATAGCCATTATACTACTTGCTGGTCCCGCTCGGCGGGCGAGTGAGAGTGAGAGTGAGAGTGAGAGTGAGAGTGAGAGTGAGAGTGAGAGTGAGAGTGAGAGTGAGAGTGAGAGTGAGAGTGAGAGTGAGAGTGAGAGTGAGAGACAGAGTTAGAGTGAGAGTGAGAGTGAGAGTGAGAGTGAGAGAGAGAGAGAGAGAGAGAGAAAGTAAAAAAGCAAGCTGCCAGGTCTGGGACTCAAACTGTGATCAACCATGTCGGAATCCAGCACCCTGCCGGCCCCAATTATTTTTTATGGTATCTATTAATTCTTTTGAATCATGAAAGGACTTCCTCATCTCCTGGAGTTCGTTGTCTCTTTTCTCTTGCATTTCATATAGTTTCGTCACTGTAAATATTCTGAATTGTTTACCTGACATTTCCATGAGTTCTATAGTATTGTCTGTGGATGATGAGGAATTTAGGTTTTCCCTTGGGGAGAGATGTTTTCTTGGTTTCTCATAGTTTTTTTTCTTTTCTTTCTTTCTTTTTTTTTTTAGAGTGGTTTTGCTATAGGGCATGTGTGTTTGCCAGAAAGAGAGAGAGACAGAGAAACAATCCCTTCTCCTCCATTCTCCTCTTGGGATCTTGGGTGTACACGCACACGTGCCTGGTGTGAGTTTAAGCCACTAGGTCCTGGACTCAAACTGCGGTTGACACATAGGAGTCCAGTGACATAGCCATTACACCATCTGCTGGTCCCAGTTTCTCATATTTCTTGTACCTCTGCAATAGTTTCTTCCTAAATTCTTCAAGTTAATTCTAAGTACTCAAAGGCAAACAGGAGGATGCGATTGGCGATCTCTCCGCTGTTCTATTTTCCTGATGCTCACCGAGCAACATGCACTGTTATCGCTGGACTTGGGTAATTCAAAGTCTTCCCAGTTTCTAGAAAACAGGTGCACCTGGAGCTGAGCTGCTGTGCTTCACTTGAGGAGTAGAGAAGGGGTCACACAGCATGCTTCAGAAAATGCTGAAGTCTGAGAACTAGAGGTGTGTGGCAGGGGATGAGCCACAGGCTCTCTGCAGCTCAGCATCCCTGTCGTTCAGTGCAGCCAGGCCTATTGCCAAGGCAGATGTCCCGATGGCACGGGGACCGGGCAAAGACGGGCTTCTCCAAGTCTCAATGAACATACCTGAGAGTTCCAAGACGTGTCGGGGAGGGGATGAGCCACACTCTGTAGCACCCCTTCTAACTGCAATCAGCTTACCTAGGAGTAAGGCTTTCTGGGGTGGATGTCCCGATGGCATGGGGACTGGGCAAAGATGGACTTACTCTAAGTCCCAATGAACACATCTCCACATATGCCCTTTTGAAAAAATAAAGGAAAATAAAAATAAGGGGCAGCAGGTGGCATGGTGGTTAAGATGTTGGATTCTCACATGACCAACAGCAGTTTGAGTCCTGGACCTAGCTGTTTGGAAATCACACTGGGCATGTGTGCACACACACATCCAAAATCCCAGGGGAATTGTTAAAAAGGGACTGTGTCTTGGCCATCCCCCTCTAGGGGATACTTTCTCACTTTCCCTCTCTCTAGTGAGCCCACACTCTTCATAGCAAAAAAAACCCTAAAAAATAGTAGTGAACCCACACTCTTTATAGCAAAAAAAACCCTAAAAAATAGTAGTGATAAAATAAGACTCTGTGGAGGTCCACTCTGTGGTGCAGTGGTAATGTGCTGCTCTAGAGAAGCTGAGGTTGAGTGGTTAAGAGCTGTGCATGGAAGCCAGATCCCACCTGGCCAACTGCAGTTCAAATCTGGGCCTGGGTGACTTGAAAGCCATGTTGGGCATATGTGCTGTGTGCCGCAAATCCTGATGGAATGGTAAAATGGAGAGGAAAGGATCACAGCATGACCATTTTTCCATTGAAGAGGTACTTGCTTTCTCCCTCTGGTGGGTATACACACCCTCTGGTAATTAAAAAAAAAAAATAAGAGGGGGGGTCAAATTCCAGATGGCAACTGAAATGCAAATCTACCCAGTCAGCCTGCAACATGCTGGGCATATGCCCAAGATCTACAGGGCGGGAGGACCTGAGGAAGGGAACAGACCCTGCGGAAGAAGCTTCCCTCTCTCTTTCTCTTGCTCTATCACATATAAAAGTGTGGGGGAAGAGATAGGAGGCTGTTGCTGAAACCTTTTAGCATCTCTCCCCAGTCTGTCTTTCTTTTCAGAGATGACCATTATGAATTGAGGGCTTATCATTCCATGAGGGATGGGTGTATGCTTTCACAGGAAAACATGAAAAGACGAATGTTTGTGCTATTACCCAGAGCCATTTTCACAGCTAAATACAGATATGCAAACTCAGACTGACTCACCCTCTCCCACTCAGCCACAGACAGAGCTGCAGTGTTGGCACACAAATACCTCGACACACTGCTCTCCCTCTAAAATATTGACAAGCTCTATCATATATCCACATGGGCTGACACATGGTCATATCCATCAAAACCATATATACAGACACAGCCGTGCTGGCATCTAGCAATTTTCAGTAGATATGTGTAAACGCACCTGCCTGGTTAGGACACTATACTGGCCAGTGCATTCCTATAGTGTGTCATGGTATATGTTGCCACAATCCCTAGGACTCCCAGATACACATTTTGGCAAATCGAGATGAAGATAATGATGCAGACAGATGTCATCTCTCGTCTCCCCACCTCTCCTCTCACTTGCAGGTTGTGGTTCACACGACCAACTCATGACTTGGGGGAACTTAACTCCCGATTGGATGTTATTCAGTTCTTCCTGCTACCTCAGAATCTGGACATGGCTCAGATGCTGCACCGGCTGCTGGGTCACATCAAGAACGTGCCTGTGAGCCTCTAGGGTGGGGGACAGGGTTGGGAAGGAGGTCCTCATGCTGTATGCTGGGCTTCTTGAAGGTGTTTGGATGGAAGAGTGAAACAGTGGCTGTCCCCTTGTCTAATTAGCTGATTTTGAAACGCATGAAGTTGTCCCATACCAAAGTCAGTGACTGGCAAGTGCTATACAAGGTAAGGGCTCTTTCCTCGAATCCCAGATATCCATGTTAAGCCCTTCAGTCTGTGTTCTATATCTTTTGTACTCTGGTCACCTTGTCCAAGTTTGTTTGGTTTTCTTTTTCTTTTTCTTTTTTTTTTGAGAGGTTTTTGCTCTAGGGTGTGTGCACTCGCCAGAAAGACAGAGAGAGACAGAGAGACAGAAAGCAAGAAATCACCCCCCCCAGGGGGGATAACCGCGCTGCAGTCCCTTCTCCTCTTTTCTCCTCTTGGGATCTTGGGCACACACACACATGCGCCTGGTGTGAATTTAAGCCACCGGGTCCAGGACTCAAACCATGGTCGACTATATGGGAGTCCAGCAACATAGCCATTATGACAAATTATGACAATTGCTGTTCCCTGGTAGTTTGCTCTCTCTCCCTCTCTCTCTCTCTCTCTGTCTCCGTCTCTGTCTCTGTCTCTTGCTGGTGAGCATATATACCCTATAGAAAATTTAAAAACAATTTAAAAAATTAATTTTTTTTAAAAAGAATGATTTATTTCCATTTTTTATTATTTTTTATTTTGACCAGACAGAGAAGACAGAAAGAGAGAGAAAGGGAAAGCAAGATAGCAAGCCACCAGGTCTGGGACTTGAACCACAGTCAGCCATGTGGGAATCCAGCAGCTTTAACCACCATGCCACCTGCCAGCCCCAATTAAATTAATTATTTAAGGAACTATAATCCCTTCTCCTCCATTCTCTTGGGACTTTGAACACACGCGTGCGCACGCACACACACACACACACACACACACACTCCCAGCATTATTTTTTATTTATTTTTAGAGATTTTTGTTATAGGGTGCGTGTGCTCGCCAGAGAGACAGAGAGAAAGAGAAATCACCCCCCAGGGGAAATGGCTATGCTTTAATCCCTTTTCCATTCTCCTTGGGCTCCTCCATTCTCCTCTGGGTCTTGGGCATGCACACACTCATGCCCAGTGTGAGTTTAAGCTACCAGGTCCGGGACTTGAACTGTGGTCAACTATGTGGGAGTCCAGTGACATAACCATTATGCCATCTGCCCGTCTTCCCAGCGTGTTTTTCAAGCTGCAAGGTCCAAGATTCAAAGTGCATGGTTGGCTATGTGGGATCCAGCCACCTTAATCACCATGCCACTGCCTGGTTCACATCTTATTTTATTTTACGTTTTTGCCATAGGGCACATGTTCTTCCTGGCAAAGACAGAGAGGGAAAGTGTGAAATCACACCCTAGGGGAACAGCCACCTGCAATCCCTTCTCCTCTCGGGATTTTGGGCACGCACGCACATGCACCTGATGCCATTTTCAAGCCGCAGAGTCTGGTACTCAAATTGTGGTTGGCCATGTGAAAGTTTCATGCCTTAACCAGCATGCCACTGGCTGGCCATCTTATTTTAAATATTCTGCATTTATGTCTGTCTTTCTTACTAGACTGTGAGCTCATCTGGCTCAGGGACTATATCTTAGTTGTCCTGGTAGCTCCAGAGTTCAGTGCCTGGCACAGGGTTTTACACATGCCGTTCCCTCCCTCACTGTTTCTTTGCGACCTTCTCTTTCAGTTCTAGTGCTCTTCTCTGTTGACCTTGTTGTTCTCAGCCTGTCTCTGTCCCCTCACCTTAGCCATGCGGGTATGGGCTGCTCTCTTAGGTGTGTTTCTCCTACAGACTGTGTACAGTGCCCTGGGCCTGAGGGATGCCTGCCGCTCCCTGCCCCAGTCCATCCAGCTCTTTCGGGACATTGCCCAAGAGTTTTCTGATGACCTGCATCACATCGCCAGCCTCATTGGGAAAGTGGTAAGTGTCAGGAGGCAGAGAACCTGGGGAGGTAGGATGCAGGGGCCAGGGAGGCCAGCTAGGTGAGTAAAGAAAGGGGTGGTGAGAAGAGGGGTAGAACATCAGGGAAGAGCCTGAGGGGTTGAGTTAAAGCTGGAATGCAGGAAGAACTGGGACCTTAGGAGATCTGGGGACCGAGAGATGGTGCTGGGTGATAAGAAACTGGACTTCTTATCTCCACAGGTAGACTTTGAGGGCAGTCTTGCTGAAAATCGCTTCACAGTCCTCCCCAACATAGATCCTGAAATTGATGAGAGTGAGTGCTGGGTGTGAGATGGACCTGTGAGCCCGACACCATCCTTACAGGCGGTCATCACAGCTGGGGAGTCATCATAGCAACCAGGGCAGGGAACTTCCTGTTGATACCCGTGTGTCTTCCTCCCTTCCAGAAAAGCGAAGGCTGATGGGACTTCCCAGTTTCCTCACCGATGTTGCTCGGAAGGAGCTAGAGGATCTGGACTCCCGTATTCCTTCATGCAGTGTCATCTACATCCCTCTGGTGAGGGCAGTTAGGGGTAGTAGGCTTATGTAGCGGGACACATCCGTAGGTGAGAACATTTGTGGGGAAGCCTGAAGAACACTAACTCCTGTTGGTGGCTTTAGTCCCTTGAGGGGGGCATTGGGGATACAGGGATCTCTGGGCTTCCTCTAGGGGAAAAGGTACCCAGTAAGTCACTGTCTGCTTTCTCTCCCTTTCACTCTCCTAAGATCGGCTTCCTTCTTTCTATTCCCCGCCTGCCCTCCATGATAGAGTCCAGTGACTTTGAGATTGAGGGACTGGACTTCATGGTAAGACCCTTGACCTCGCCGGCGGGTGGGGTGGGGGTGATAAGGAAGGTGAATCAGCAGCCGCAGGGCAACCTCAGCCCCATCAGCACTACACAATATGAGATCCTTCCTCTGCAGTTCTACTCTGAGTTTCACCGGCTCTGAGATGAAGGAGAGAGAAATCGGGGTGGAGGCTAGAGGTGCGGTTAGAAAGGTGGGAGAGGAGGGACCAGCAGAGGGCGTCATGAGTACGTTGCTGGACTCCCACATAGTTGACCATGGTTCAAGTCCCCGACCGAGTGGCTTGAAACTCGCGCCAGGTGCGTGTGCGTGCATGCCCAAAATCTCAAGAAGAGACTGGAGGAGAAGGGATTATGATTTCTTGTTGTGTCTCTGTGTCTCCTATGAAAGCACACACCCTATAGCAAAAATCTGTCTTTAAAAAAAAAACAAAAGGTGGGAGATGAGAGGAGGACCAAGAGATGCAAAGCCTGTAATTCTGAACACTTGTACCCAGTTTCTCTCAGAGGAGAAGCTGCACTACCGGAGTGCTCGAACCAAGGAGCTGGACACATTGCTGGGGGACCTGCACTGCGAAATCCGGGGTGAGGGGACCCCAGAGATTGGGGGTGGGGGGAGTAAGCAGTTTGAGACTTTTTTTTTTAGTTTTTAATTTTAACTTTACTTATTATTTTCCAATTTGTCCAGAGAGAGACAGAGCAAGAGAGAGGGAAAGTGAGAAGCTACTAGGTCTGGGATTTGCACCATGGTTGGCCATGTGGGAGTCTAGTGTCTTTAACCACCACACCACCTGCCGGCCCCTGGGGATGCTTCTAACAGGCTCCTCTTCCTGCTCTCTATCTCTCTCACTCTGACTGCACATCCGCCCTCATCTCTGGGGCTCTCAGACCGAACCTGTATGCCTGTTTCCAGGTCCCGCTGTGGACCTCTGACTCTCCTTCACTTTCTCCTGGAGCTGACCCCCAGCTCCCCCTCACCCACCCCAGACCAGGAGACCCTGTTGATGTACCAGCTGCAATGCCAGGTGCTGGCGCGGGCGGCAGTCCTGACCCGGGTCCTGGACCTTGCCTCCCGCCTGGACGTCCTGCTGGCTCTTGCCAGTGCTGCCCGGGACTATGGCTACTCAAGGCCCTGTTACTCCTCTCAACTCCTTGGGGTACGAATCCAGAATGGAAGGTGAGAAGAGAGGTGGGTGGAGACACAGACATGAGGTTCTTCTGGGGTTGCCTCCATCTCTATACATGGGCCGTGCGAGGTGCTCCTTCACCCCCTGCAGACATCCTCTTATGGAACTCTGTGCCCGAACCTTCGTGCCTAACTCTGCAGAATGTTGTGGGGACAGAGGGAGGGTCAAAGTCATCACTGGACCCAACTCCTCAGGGAAGAGCATATACCTTAAACAGGTGAGAAGTCCTTCCTACAACCTGGCCTCTAGCTTGTCCCATCTTCTCCACCTCCTCACCTGCCAGCCAACCCTGGTCCCTAACGCTCTTCTCCCTTATTCCTGACCCCACTTGTCATGAAAAGACCACCAGGCACACTCCCTGCTCCTCTGCCTCGAATGTTCTCATTTTCTGAGGGAGAGCCATGCTGAGATAGAGCTTTCTGTGCCCTGAATTTCCTTCACTCGCCTCTGAACAGGTATGTGCCCTTCCCCAGTATGCCTCCACCCACTCCCCTGGCCCTCTTTCCTGATTCTAAAGTGAATGTAAGGGGCTGTCATTGGAGTCGGGGAAGAGGGACAGTGTGTTCTCTTAGCTGTTCACTTCTCTTACACTGTGTCCATGTCTCTTTGATCTACCATTCAAAGATCAGGGTGGATGGGCCCAAGTTGAACCTCAGCCCACACCACCAGGCCCCAGGCCCTGTCTCCTTCCCATTCAGGTAGGCCTGATCACATTCATGGCCCTGGTGGGCAGCTTTGTGCCAGCAGAGAAGGCCGAAATTGGAGCAGTAGACGCCATCTTCACCCGAATTCATAGCTGTGAATCCATCTCCCTCGGCCTCTCAACCTTCATGATCGATCTCAACCAGGTCAAAGGGAGCAAAGGGAGATGGGGTTGGGAGAGGGACTATGGGGAAGGAGCTCAAGTCCTGAAAAATGCTGAAACGGAAGCATTGCTTTTGTGCATGCCCTCTGTACTGGGGCAGAGAGCACCCTGGGCTGACTGGAGGAATCGAGACCATAAACAGCAGTTCGCAGACCCTTGCTCCGCGTGACGATAAAAACCTGTGCCTCACCGTTAAACAACTTGTGGCGCAGTTGGGTGGAGACACACAAACGGTTGTATTCACAGCAGACTGTGGTCAGTGCGTTGCAGGCCTTCAGTGCTAAGGAATTGCTCCCTTGTCCACCTCACGCCCATCAGGTGGCCAAAGCGGTGAACAACGCCACTGAGCAGTCTCTGGTCCTCATTGATGAATTTGGCAAGGGAACCAACACGGTGAGAGGAGAATCGAAGGAGGGGAGATTGGAGGAGAATGGAGAATGAGGGTGAGGCTGGGCCTCAGGAAAACAATATGGACATGCGGGCAGAAAAGAAACAGAATGTGAGGTTGGGCCAGGGCAGTGGCTGAGGGCCACAGGGGGCCTGAGTACCCGTGGCTCCATACCCTCACCCTGCCCTGTGTAGGTTGATGGGCTTGCGCTTCTGGCTGCCGTGATCCGACACTGGCTGGCCCTGGGACCTGGGTGCCCCCACATCTTTGTGGCCACCAACTTTCTGAGCCTTGTTCAGCTGCAGCTCCTGCCACAAAGTCCGCTGGTTCAGTATCTGGTGAGGAAACCAGTCTAGCCTCTAGGCGTCCCTAGGCTGCACGTTTCCCAGAGGTGGGGATGGGCTCCTCAGGAAGCCAGGGACCCTGTCCCTCCCTTTTCTCACTCCCCACCAGGAGCGAACAAGTGTTTAGGACAGCAAGTAGGGTGAGTCAAGATGCACTGTCCCCTTTTATTCTCTTTGAAGACCATGGAGACCTGTGAGGACGGGACGGACCTCGTCTTCTTCTATCAGGTTTGCGAAGGAGTCGCCAGCGCCAGCCATGCCTGCCACACAGCTGCCCAGGCTGGGCTTCCAGACAGACTCGTTGCTCGTGGCAAGGAGGTGATGGGATCTGAACGTCCAGCCACCTCCACCTCCAGGCTCCCTTCGTCTCTCCTTGTCTCTGCCCTTATCTCCCCTTCTCTTCTCCAGTGACCCTGCCCTCCTTCCTTCTGTTCCTAGGTCTCAGACTTGATCCGCAGCGGGAAACCCATCAAGCCTGTCAAGGGGCTGCTGAAGGAGAACCAGATGGACCAGTGAGTGTCTGGCCGCCGTGATTTCCTCTCTCTAGCATCTTCTCTCCAGCCCTTCTCCCCTCAAGGACTCGGCCAACCCCCTTCCAGTTTTTACCCCTCGAAGGCCCGCTGTTCTTCCTGAAACCCCTAGTCTCCGCAGTCCCAGGTTTCCTATGCCCCAGCCTCCCCTCTGCTCAGGGACGTGGCTGTCCATGCCATAGAGCTCACTGTTCTCTCCCCTGCAGTTGCCAGACATTAGTGGGTAAGTTTCTGAAACTGGACTTGCAAGATCCCAGCCTGGATCTGGACGTGTTCATGAGCCAGGAGGTGCTGCCTGCTGCCACCACCATCCTCTGAGCGTCTTCCTCCACCCTCCCCAACTTCCTCAGAACCCCCCAGACTGCTGTGCCCTCTGCTTCTGTGTCCTGACCCAGACTTTCCGGTTCCCTAGAAATTTTGTTTCATATTAGGAATAAAGTTTATTTTGAAGAGAACTACTGTTTCCTTATGTCAACTGAAACAGGATAAGAAAGTAAGAAAGACCTAAAACAGCCAGCAGGGGTCCACAGAGAGACTTGGCCTGTGTCATTAAAAACACACTGACAGAGGCCCAGCAGATGGTGTAATGGCTATGTCACTGGACTGCCATGTAGCAGACCACAGTTTGATTCCCAGACCAGGCAGCTTAAAACTCACACCAGGTGCATGCACATGTGTGACCAAACTCTGAGAGAAGAATAGAAAAGGGATTGCAGCATGACCATCCCCCCCAGGGGGTGATTTCTCTCTCTCTCTGGCGAGTGCACAAGCCCTATTGCAAAAATCTCTCTCTAAAACCAAATAAACAACAACAACAACAAAAACACATCCTACTGACCAGCGGGTGGTGTAGTGGTTAAGGCGCTGGGATCCCACATGGCAGACTACGGTTGGAGTTCTGGACCCAGAGGCTTGAAACTCATGTGTGTGTACCCAAAATCCTGAGAGAATGGAGAAGGGATCATGTTGAGGCTATCCCCCAACGGGGGTGATTTCTCACTCTCTGTCTCCCTGGTGAGCATATGTGCCCTATAGCAAAAATCTCTGCATCCTATACCAAAAATCTCTTGCAAAAAACCCCCACTGACAGCCCAGCAGATGGCATGGTGGTTAAGGTGTTGAACTCCCACCTGGCTGACTTCAGTTCCAGTCTCAGACCCGTGGCTTGAAAATCACACTGGGTTGGAGCCAAGGGGTGATGTAGTGGTTAAGGCGGGACTCCCACATGGCTGGCTGCAGTTCAAGTTCCGGAACTGAGGCTTGAAATTCATGTGGGCAAATGTGCATGTGCCTAAAATCTTGAGAGAATGGAGGAGAAAGGATTGCAATATGGTCATCGCCCCTGGGGGGAGGGGTGATTTCTCACTTTTTGTCTCTGTCTCTCCAACGAGTGCATGTGCCCTATAGCAAAAATCTCTCTCAAAAAAAGAAAAAAATAATCACACCGGGTCTGTGTGTGTGCTCCAAATCCTAAGAATAATATGGAGAAGGGATTGCAGTGTGGCCCTCTCCCCGGGATGATTTCTCACTTTTCCTTTTTCTTTCTTCTTTTTTTGGAGAGGTTTTTGCTATAGGGCCCATGTGCTCGCCAGAAAGACAGAGACAGAGAGACAGAAAGCGAGAAGTCAGCCCCCCAGGGGGGATGGCCACGCTGCAATCCCTTCTCCTCTGTTCTCCTCTCGGGATCTTGGGCATGCACACACACGCGCGCGCCTGGCGTGAGTTTAAGCCACCGGGTCTGGGACTCAATCCGCGGTTGACTACGTGGGAGTCCAGCGACATAGCCATTATGCTAACTGCTGGTCCCACAGTTTTCCTCTTTCTGTCTCTCTCTGCCTTTTTCCAGAGAGTGAATACACCCTGTGGCAAAAACCTGAAAAAAAACAAACAACAAAGACACACACACAGTGACACTGCTGGGAGAGCTTTGAATCAACCCCAGGAGTCATCAGAAGCAGAAACCACTTCAGGGAGGCCCTACAAAAATGGATAAGAAGGGGCATCAAGGTCACCAAGAATTACGTGGAGGTTGCCAAGGGCTTGTTTAAAAGTATTTTCAAGTCTGACTGAGAACGCTTGATATTTAGGAAAAATGGATTAGAGGCAAGCTAGAGGGGCCCAAGAGAAATGGTCGCTCCCCTTAAGGAGGAACACCCTAGCCTCAGACACACCAGGAAAGGGCCTGCGGGTTGAAAGACAAGGCCGGGTGGGTGCCAGGCAGGGGTGGAGGGGAGGGGCCAGCCCAGGCTGCACCAGTGGGAGTGGCTCTACCCTACCCAGAGCCATGGGGAGCCGGGGTCCTGCTGAGCTGTCCCCTGTGCAGGCTCCTTACACGGTTCTACTGCTGCCCCTGGGAACGAGCCGCCAAGACCCCGGGGCCCAGAGCTTCTTCCTTTGGGTAAGTATTAGCCCGACAGAAGGAAGTCCCTCCCCCTAGGTCTCCCCCACTTCTTTCCCCGGCTCCCAGGTCCTCAGTGGCCGGGCTGGGCTCACGTTCAGTGACCAGACGGTGAACCTAACCAGAGTTAAGAGAAGGGCTGTGGTCCAGAGCCCGGCCAGGGAGCCAGCCGGCCTCTGCTTCTCGCCGTTTCCAGCTGCAGAGGATGCGGGCTCTGGAGAGAGAACAGGATGCCCTGTGGCACGGGCTGGAGCTGCTGGAGCACAGCCAGGCCTGGTTTGAAGACCGTCTGAGGGAGGCACAGCAACAGCAGCTGCATCTGGGGGCCCTTGGGGAGGTACAGGCTGCCCCTCTGTGTGGACGGGAAGTGGGGGAGGAACGGGGAGGGCACGTGTGGACACCACCCGGGGCCCACTCTGGAACGGGAAGAGTTAATGGGCAGGCATCACGAATGGGAGGCAGCATCGAGATGACAGGATGCCACTCAGAGTCTGGTTGGTGTCCATTGTTAGAGGCCGAGGGGGCTGGTCTACATTCCATTCAGAGGGATGTGATTTGGAAGGCTCCATCCAGAGGAGAGAGTGCCAGGATTATTCCACCCAGGCAGGGGTAGGCGGGGAGGATAGAACAGAGGAAGAAGGGGTGTTGCGCTATTTGAGGGAAACAGAGGAACAGGAATGTGTACAAGGTGGAGGTGCAAAGTATTGGATGTTCCCCCTGCTGGGAAGGGTTCTGGGCTGAGGGGATCCAGATGAGAGGAATGGGGAATGGCCTGTGGTGACAAGAGGAGAGTGACAGATGAACCTCGAGTTTTCACTGCGTTGTCAACCTCAATGCCTCCTTTAGAATTTTTTTTTTTTTGAGAGGTTTTTGCTATAGGGTTCGTGTGCTCGCCAGAAAGACACAGAGAGAGACAGAGAGACAGAAAGCGAGAAATCACCCCCCTGTGGGGATGGCCATGCCGCAATCCCTTCTCCTCCATTCTCCTCTTGGGATCTTGGGCATGCACACACATGCGCCTGGCGTGAGTTTAAGCCACTGGGTCCGGGACTCGAACTGCGGTCAACTACATGGGAGTCCAGCGACATAGCCATTACGCTAACTGCTGGTCGCGTCCTTTAGAATTTTCTAACAGATTTACACTCGCAGTCTGGTGGTCCCCAGTTAGCCCAGATTCAAAAGGTGAACATCTGTTTGCAAAATCTGATTCAGGGCAAGGTGAGTTCATCTTTTCCAGTTCAAATTTTTGGGAAGTGGGACTGGGGAGGGGAGCTGTTGGTTTAACAGAAAACAGCAAATTTCCCCCCAGTTCTTCCCACGTCCATTGAACAAAGCTAGTTCCTGTACCACCCAGGCCCGGAAGGAAAGGCCGAGGGAGCAGCACTCGAGGGAGCAGCACTCGTGGCAGCGGCAGGTAAGCTGTCGGGGTGTCGGGGAGGGCGGGACGGAGCACTGAGGCCCAGTCTGTTTCTCTCCTCTCCAGGAGCTGTCAAGGCAACAGAAAAGAGTCCTCCAGCCGAAGGAGATGGCTCAGCCGGGCCATTCCAAGGGGCAGAAGGGCCCTACCCATGTCTAATCTGAGCCCTCCTCTCCCTTCTCAGCCTGGTGAAGGAGGAGGCTGAGACTCCCCTGCCTCCTTATTCTGTCTCATCCCCAGTGGAGATGGCCCAGGTCAACGAAGTTCAGACGTCTTTGTGTCAAGCTCTCCTATGCCCCCCAAAACTTCCATTTCTTCTTTTTATCATCTCATGCCCTCACTCTCCCCTGTCAGATATGCAAAAAATGATCTTTGAACTCCCCCTAGGGAGAAGACATGTTTATTATTGAACTGTCCGTTGACTTTAAATACAAAAATAAAATAGAAGCTCCTCCAGAATTTAAAATAAAAACGATTCTATAAATAACAATGACTGCTACCCTCCTACCCCACTCCCAACTTTACTCTCCTCCCCACGTATTTCTCTCTCTACCTGAGCCTGGGAGAGCATGGATAGTTAGTGGAATAGGATGCTACAGAGACAGCAGGTTTCTCCAGAAACATCTTTGGTTTGGTTCCCAGAAAGGTTAGGGAAAGTGCATTGTGGGAACACCCACTGCCCACTTAGCAGTCTCACAGAGTTTGGCTTTGTTCTGTTTTCGTTTCTGCTGTAGAGCAAGTGCACACGCCAGAGAGATAGAGACAGAAGGGAAGTGAGAAAGCTCCCCTCGGGGGAGACAGCCAGGCCGCAATCCCTTCTCCACTTTCCTCTGGAGATTTTGGGCATGCGTGCACACACACCCGGCGTGTTTTTCAAGTCATGGGGTCCAGGACTGAAACAGGGCAGCAGCCATATGGGATCCAGCTACCTTAACCACTAAACCACTGGCTGGACTGCAGTCTCACAGCTTTTAAGAAACACAAGGGACAAACGCATGAGAAGGAAAAGCTCATTCCGGCTGGGAGAGGTAAGGTCCCAGAGTAATGCCACCCTCTCACAAATGGGGCAGACTGAACACAGCACTGGAGACCCACGTCTCTCGGGGCTCTCGTGTCAGCACAAAGCCAGGCCTAGAAGAAACAGCAGCCCTCCAGCTGTGCCCCACCACGGGTTGCCTACCATCCCTCCCCCGGCCCTGCCCAGAGTCACGGAAGTGGAGGGACAGAAGACAGAAGTGGCCGTGGTGACGGTGGCGGCGGGCGCAGGTGAGTGGGGAGGAGCCGTGAGCTGGTCCTGGGTGGGAGAGGGGAAGGTCAGTGTGTGCTGGAGCAGGACTCCGCCTCCCTTTCCCTGCCCACCCTGCGGTGGGAAGTGGGGGTGCCTCACTTGTGGGGCCGGGGGGAGTACCACAAGCCGGAGGAAAGCATGGGTTGGAGGTACTGGGCTGGCTCCTCGACCCACCGCAGTCACAGTCACCATCACCACAGAGTCTGGGGCTACTGAGCCTGGGACCCCCAGCCACAGGCGCCCCCAGGCGGTTTCATTCAGTCCCAGGAGAACCCTGGAGAGGACAGTCAGGCTGCAGCCCAGTCCCGCCCCGGTGGGCGGGGTCAGGGGCGGGGCTGGAGGCGGGGCGGGCTCTGAGCGCCAATCGGAAGGGGCCGGGGCGGGTCTTGGCGTTAAGCACGGGTGCCGGACTCCCACTGGCGGAACCTAAAACGGGGTGAGAAGGGAGCGCGAGGGCTTAGGGGCCCCACCTGGAGAGGTTGGAGGTGAGAGTGAAGCCGGGGTTGACGGATGTGCTAAGGTCGAGATCCCGAGGGCCTGAGAAGCTGGAGATGCGGAAGATGAGCGGGGTCTTGCTGCCCGGGACCAGGAAACCTGGGGGGCCACTGAGCTGCGGAGCCGCGCTAGTCAGGGAAGGAGCAGGCCGGGCCAGCCCTCTCCAGCCCCAGGGGCACCGTCCCCATGCGTCTCACCTCCAGAAGGACAGGGGCCACCGTGCAAGGCTGGGGGGCCGCCCTGTGCAGGCCCTGGCCCCCTCCGTCCTGGCCAATCAGCTCCAGGGAGAAGGGTCCAGTGGACAGTAGCGTGGGCGGCAGTGAGGCGGTGAAGAGTCCTCGCTCCGGGGGTCCAGCGGGCTCCAAGGGCACCCGGCCCAGCTCGGTGCCCTCCGGGACCCCTCGAAGGACAACATGGGAGAAATGCGGCCAAGGACCCCCAGGGCTGCCTCTGGAGCCCAGCCCTGTCACTTCCACTAGCAGCTGTGTCTGGAGACCTGAGACAGGGGCGGGAACAGTGAGAGACTGCCAGGCAGGGAAAAAAGAAGGCATGGCCTTTGGGACACGAGTTCCGGGGAGTAGGGACAGAGGGTCAGGAGAGAGTTCTGGGGTGCTAGAAAGGTTCTGTGTCTTGAACTGGGTCCTGGCTACATGAGTGTATTCTCTGAAATCCCTAAGGCTGAGCACTCAGGTTTAGGGCACGTTACTGTCGCTAAATTGGAACTCGACAAGAAAGGTGTCCGTAAACATCCACGTGTGTATACCCAAAACCAAAGAACTGGGGAGGGAGGCCAGTCGGGGAGCAGATGTACCTGCGACTGGCTGAGTCAGGGGGTAGAGGCCAGGGTGGGGTCCGTCCTCCACAGGAATCCCGAAGTGGAAGAGGAAGTCCAGAGAGGTCTGGGCTGGGGGCCAAGGCAGTCAGAACCCGTCCTGAGAGCAATGGCCCGACAGGCTCTGTGGCCCGCAGTTCCCACTTCTCGACCCGGAACATTTCCCTCCTTACCTTGCACTCTCACCTCAGCAGTGCCCTCAGCTGTGACCTGGATCTCCCAAGTCCCTGTCTGGGGGGGGTCATTCATGGTCACCATCCAGAACTGCCCAAAACGGCGAGTGTGACCCAGAGGACCCACACCTTCCTCTTGGCCCTGGGAGACCCCTGGAGTGGAGGTAAGAGACTGATGAAATCACTCCTTTCCTTTAACACATCCCCTCTCTCCACTCTGTCTTCCCTCTGCCTTGGGACGCACGTGGAGGTACCTGCAGGGTTCCTGATGCAGAAGCTGTTGATCTCCCCGTGGATCCGGACTGTGAGCCTCTGAAGTAGCCCATCCACGCTGAACACAAGCGGCCTCCCAGGCACCACAACAGGAGGGTCCAGGGGAAGAGTCACCTTGGGAGGGGGACAGGACCAACAACAGGAGAAGATAAGGCATGCAAGGAGGTGAGGACAAAACAGCAGGAAAGGAGGAAATGGAGAGACCGTTCCCACATGGAAAAGGAATCCCAGTGGGAGAGGGGCACGGGATCCAGGATGAAGCTGTTATGGGCAATGGGCAAGTTGGAGACGTGGGATTCGGGATGAGGCAATCAGTTTTTGACTCCATTTCAAAGATGGCAGGACTGGCAGGACTGGGACCAGCAGGTGATGTGGTGATTAAGGCACTGGATTCCCATATGGCTGAGCCCAGTTCGAGTCCCAGACCTGGCAGTTTGTTTTCTCACTTTCTCTTTCTCTCTTTCTGTCTGTCTCTGGTGAGCACAGGTACCCTCTAGCAAATGAAAAGAAAAAAATTAATTAATTAATTAAATAATTCTTAAAAAAAAGATTAAGTGAACATTGCAATTATTTAATGGACACAAGATATACTAGATGCTTCCTAAACTAACATTTTGAGATTATGTATAATGTTTCATTGGAAGCCATCATAATATGTAAGATAAAGTTATTACCAAACTTCCTTTCCCACTCTGTGACTAGAACGGCAACCCTGCAGTGGGACCCATTCATTCCCCTTCCTTCTATGAGAACAGAGGGGCAGCCCCACCACCCCTCAGTTCTGAGCTGAGGATACCAGCCCCGCTGGCCCCCGTCACTCACCAGGGCAGCCATGCTGTCCCCAACAATGGCTGCCACATCCCGGATGTGCTGGTCTTTGGTGAAGATCACCTCTCCTCCTGAGGCCAGGGCCACTGCTTTGTATGGCTCAAAACGCAGAGGGGACAAGATTTCCCGTCGAGCTCGGCCCTGAATCCTCGACGGGTCTTCAGTTACCAAAAATGTTACCTGTGGTCAGAAGAGAGCCCAGCGCTTAGGGCTGCCAAGCGCCATCTACTATTTTAAATGAAGACTCCTTGTGGCCAACACCCTTCTGCCCAGAGCTGGCAATTAGGGCTGAGGTCTCTGTCTATCCTTTGGCTGCCATGGTAGGTCTCCCAGTGACACACCCCTGGCCTTCAGTCAGTAGTTAGTCATTCCCTTGTGATTGTCACTGTGTTTTTCAGTGGCTTCCTGGCATGTAGGTCCACCTCTTCAAATTGTTTAGTAGGCAGGTTCGAATGTGAATTCAGCGTCAAGTGTAGGGCTTCCCACTCTTGTGTGTTGTTAAAGGTGTCAGGAAATACTGCATTTACTGTCTAGTCTCCCACCCCATGCCAAGGCTGGCTCGACCATCACAGTTTGGAGTGACCCCAAGGTCTCCCAAATCCCTGGGTGGCAGATACTGGGTCTCCCAGCCACTATGCTCACCCTGCAGCGCCGCTCCTGAGTCAGGGACTCCACCCGATTGGTGAGAAAGGCATCCTTCGGGGAGGCGTCCGTGAAGACAAAGATGTCTGAGTGTGGAGGTGTGTGCAGCAGGGCCAGCTTGCAGGGAGCGAAAGGACTGCTGTTAAAAATGGTGGCAGGGCCAGCAGATGGCGTAGCGGTTACATCGCTGCACTCCCACATGGGCGCCCATGGTCAAGTACTGGACCTGGTGGCTTGAAACATACACTGGGTGCATGTGCATGCGTGCCCAAGATCTCAAGAGGAAAATGGAGGAGAACGAATTGTGGTGTGGCCATACTCCGCACCCCGGGGAGGTGGGGGTGATTTCTCACTTCCCCTCTCCCTGTCTCTCTCTCTCTCTCTGGGGAATGCACACACCCTAAGGCAAAAACTTTTGAAAAAAAAAAAAAAAAAAGATGTTGCCAGAGGGTAAATGGGCTGAGCCAGGGAGCACAGGGTAGAAGGGAGCATGGCCTTCGAACCCCGAGTCAAGCTAGGGAAACCTGGGACGGCTAGTTGGGATGGTGGAGAGGGGGGGAATCTCCAGAAGGGTCAGGCTCCCCCTGGTGGTGGGTCCTGGAAAGTGGGGGTAAGAAGGGGACAGGAAAGGAGCCAGACCTCCAGGGCGGAGAGGCACATCTCAGGCTCATCTCCACCGCCCAAGGCATGGATCTCATTGAGCTGTTGCCAAAAGCTGTCAGGGTCACTGGTTGTAAAGACTGGGCCGAACCCTAAGGAGGGAAAAAGGAGGTTGAGGTGAGTGAGGAAAGAACTCCCCTCATTCTTTCCAGGTCTACCTCCCCGGTGGGGAGTACTCCCCAGTACAGAGCAGGGTGGGGCAGGGCCAGGTGCCCCTGGTGGCAAAGTGGGCCTCCACGTCCTTAACAAAGTGGTGGCACTTCCTGTGGTCCTGAGCCGAGTGTATTGAGTAATGTATGAAAAAGAGCATAGGGGACCAGCAGGTGGTGTGTGGTGGTTAAGGCACTGGACGCTCCCACATGGCTGACTTCAGTTCAAGTCCCAGACCTGGTGGCTTGCTTCCCCACTTTTCTTTCTCTCTGTCTCTCTCTGGTCAAATTAAAAATAAGAATAATAATGATGATGATGAAGGTGGGACCAGCAAATGGCATTATGGTTGCATTGCTGGACTCCCACATGGCCACCTGTGGTTCAAATCCTGGACCTGGTGGCTTGAAACTCACGCTGGACACATGTCCACATGTGCTCAAAATTCTGAGAGAACAGTGGAGAAGGGATTGCAGCATGGCCATCCCCCTGGAGGGTGATTCCTTGCTTTCTGTCTCTCTCTCTCTGGCAAATACATGTACCCAATAGCAAAAATCTCTCTCAAAAAATAAATAAGGGACCAACAGATGGCTTAAGGGTTTCATCACTGGATTCCCATGTAGTCAACCACGGTTCGAGTTCCAGACCTGATGGCTTGAAACTCATGCTGAGCATGTGTGCATGCATTCTGTCCAAGATCCCAGGAGGTGAGTGGAGTAGAAGGGATTGCAGCGAGGCCATTCATCCTTTTTCTATCTCTCTGGCAAGTACATGCACCCTATAGTAAAAAATCTCTCTTAAATAAATAAATAAAATTAAATAAGTAATTCTAAAGAAGAAAGACTTATTCTTGGAAAGGTATGGGTTCCCCTTAGAGCAAAGAGAAAATTAAAAAAGAAAAAATAAGTTAACAAGTTCACAGACAAGTGGAATTAAAATCCAAGTTTATTAAAAGAAAAAGAAAAGGGCCAGCTTCTGGCCTGGTGTTTAAGGCCACACGGAGCCCACATGGCCAACCGTGCTGTTCAAGTCTTAGACCTGGTGGTAAAACATATAAAAACATGCTGAGTGCATGTACATATGTGCCCAATTCTGAAAGGAGGGAGAGAAGAGGAGACTGTGGCTTGACCATGCTCCATTGGAGGAGCTTTCTCACCTCTACCCCATAGCACACACCCTCACAAGTGGCAAATTGAAAACAAAAGAGGGACCAGCAGGTGGTATGGTGATTATAGTGCTGGACCCCCACAAGCCAACCGCAGTCCTGGACCTAGCAGCTTGCTTTTCCATTTTCCTCCTCCTCTCTCCTCCTCTCTCTCTGTCTCTCTCTGGTGAGCACATGTCCTAAAGTAAATAAAATAAGTAAATAAGTTCACTTTTTTAAAAAGAATTATTTCATTTAACTTTCTTTGTTTGTTTGTTTATTTTAATGTGACCAGAGAGGGATAGAGTGATAGAGGGAGAAAGAAAGTGAGAAACCAAGCTGCCAGGGCTGGGAATTGAACCGCCGTTGGCCATGTTGGAGTCTAGCGCCCTTAACCACCATGCCACTTGCCAGCCCCAATAAAAAAATTCCTCCTTTTTAAAAAGAATTATTTATTTATTCATTCATTTAATTCGACCAGGGAGAGACACACAGAGAGGAGAGGGAAAGTGAGAATGCAAACTGCCAAGTCGGGGACTTGAACCGCGGTTGACTACATGGAGTATCCAGTGTCTTAACAATCACGCCACCTGCTGGTTACCCCCAATAAAAAGTTATTTAACTGGACCAGCAGGTGGCATGGTGGTTAAGGTGCTGGACACTCCCACACGGCTGACTGCAGTTTGAGTCCCCAATCCGGCAGCTTGCTTTTTCACTTTCCCTCTCCTCTCTGTGTCACTTTGCCTGTCTCTCTCTGGTTAAATTAAAATAAATGAATGAATAAATAAAAGTCAAATAAATAATTATTTTTTTAAATTCTTTAAAACAAGAACAAATGGAGTGTCAGTTTCTTCATTGGAAAAGAGAGAAAATAATAGTAGTTACCTCAGAGGCTTATTGGGGGGCTAAGTGTGTTGTTTTTGTAAATCTTAGAATAGTATATTGATATATAATAAGGGTTAAATGATTTTTTTGTTTGTTTCTGCTCTAGGGCATATGGGTTCACTGGAGAAACATAGAGAGAGGGAAAGTAAAAAAATCACACTCTAGGGGGCACGACCATGCCATAATCCCTTCTCCTCCATTCTCCTCTTGGGATTTGGGGCGTGTTTGCGCATGTGCCTGGCGTGTTGCTCAAGCCACCAGGTCCAGGACTCAAACCGTGAAGTTGGCTCTGTGGGATCCAGCTGCCTTAATCTCCATGCCACTGACTGGCTGGCCCAATAAGTGTTAAATTTCTCTCTTTTTTTTTTTTTTTTTGAGAGGTTTTTCACTGTAGGGCATGTGTGCTCGCCAGAGAGAGAGAGACAGAGAGACAGAAAGCGAGAAATCACCCCCCAGGGGGGATGGTCACGCCGCAATCCCTTCTCCTCCATTCTCCTCTCGGGATCCTGGACACACACGCACACGCGCCTGGCATGAGTTTTAAGCCACCGGTCCGGGACGTGAACCGCGGTCGACTACATGGGAGTCCAGCGACATAGCCATTACGCTAACTGCTGGTCCCAAGGCCAGCATTTTTCCAGGAAATGAAGGCAGGCGGGCTTTCCTGGCCCTGGACTCCCGCCCCGCTCTCCCGCCGGACCAGTTACCTGGGTCATGGAAAGGCACCAGGACGTAGTGGGCGGGCTCCATGGGGCCGCGCCGCCGCTGCTCCACGATGTGGCGCGCCTGGATCTTGGCCGCGTTGATCTCCTCGCCCATGCTGCCCGTGGTGTCGAGGACGAAGCTCAGGCTGGAGGCCGGGGAGATGTCCAGCAGCCTGGGGAGCAGGCCGGAGACGTGGCAACGCGTCTGCGTGTTCGCCACCAGCCCTCAGCCCTCGGCTCTCTGGGGAATGTGTACCCGCGGGTGCCCATCTCCGGCACTCACCTGGAGAAACCGCTGTCTCCCAGGCGACCTCGCAGGAGGCTGAAGGCCTGGATGGAGGCTAGCAGGGCCAGCCGTGCTGCCTGGGGGTGCAGCATGTGGTGTGGGGAGAAGCCAGGGGAGGTGCTGTCCTTGTTGATGCCTCCCCGGGGCGGCTGGGAGCTGCTCTGGTCAAAATGGCCCCCGTGGCTACACTTCCCTGGGTTGGAGAACGGAATCTGAAGAGCAGAGGTCAAAACCCACTGCCTCCTACGAAAATGAGGCCCTCTCTGGCCTAGCCTGGCCCTCTCACTGTTCGGCAAAGGAGCAGCAGAAAATGACATTATGTGGAGGGCAAGCGGTGGATCCTCGCCCAAAGCTCCCCATGGACACGGAGAAACGCTGTCAGCCGGGCAGGAGGCCGTCCCCACCCGCAAGGTCACAGCCTCCTCCGCCGGCCTCGTCCACACAGCTCGTGCACACATCCCTCCTAGGAAGTGACGCTGGAGGGAACACGGCGAGGGCTTCCTGCAGGACGGGGCCCTGGGAGTGAGCAGAGGAAGCGACTTCCTGCCTTATTTCTGGGGAGCTTCCCGTCTAGTACCTGGAGGCTTGGGGGGATGGCTTCCAAAGTAGCCAGAAGTGAGGAGAGAGCCCAGCAGGTTCTCGGGGCAGCTCGACGCCTCGCAGTCAGAGCAGGTCGGATCGCCCTCTGGGGAGAGAGGAAGAGGGGCCAGAATCTAAGGTTCTGCCAGCCCCCCCTTACCCCCCTGACCACTGCAGCTTCCCCTCCCAGGTGGGACAGAGAGCCCACAGGGGGCCTGGTCTGAAATAAAACCAAGGATTCGTGGCCGCCAGGGTACGAGACGGGGGTTGCGCTGGAAAACCCAGGGAGCGCGCGGACTGATACGGGTGATGCCCTCCGTGAGCCGTGGGCGGGAAGTGAACCTGTAAAGGGCAGGGGGCGGCTGCCGGGGCCCTAGTTTCGCTGGGAGGTTGAGGACACAGCCCCACGTTGGCTAGTAAGAGACTGGTCCTGGCCGTTCTCCCGTGTGACCTGGGAGGGGCCACTTAACTAACCTGACCTTCGGGGGACCTCACAGGTCCCTACAGAGAAGTGACATCACATCCCACGTGACCTCGGGATGTCACGCGGTGGCTAGGCGGACTGAGAGGAGGTGGCTCCGTGGGCTCCCACGTTGCCACAGGGTCGAGGCTCTACCTTGTGCCAGGCTCCGGAGCTCCTGCCGTGGCCAGAGGAGGTGAGGGTGCGGCTGCTGCTCCCCCAGTTCCACCCAGTTGCTGTGACTGTAGAAATCCTGGTCCCAGGGGATGGGAGGGGCATGGGCTCTAGTCCCCCTGCCATGGTCTCAGGCCTGCCGTGCCACCCCTCGGAGTTCCCCACCCAGGTCCTCCACCCGCACTGCTCCTGCCAGACCCCCAGGGCCCTCGCTGCACTCTCCCGTGGTCCAGGACAGTTTTGCCCAAGTGGGGACTGCCCCAGCTCCTCGGAGTGTCCGCCAAAGGCCTCTCCACAACCCCACTCGATGTGCCGCCCCTCACTCTCACCTCCCCCTGCTTCTCTGCAGCCACGTGGCCCCCTGGCTGTTCCCACAGGTAAAGCTGCCAGTTTGCAGGTGTGAAGCTGCTCAGGGCACTGAGCTGTGTCCCACCCCTTTGTTTTTTCATTGCCAGAGGGCATGAGCCCTGGCCAGAGAAACAGAGAGAAGCCGAGGGAGCAGGCACTCCCCAAGGGACCTGGGCACACTCCAGCCCTTCTCTATTTCCCATCCTGTCCGCATTTCGGGCGCACACAGGTGCCTGGGCACGTTATTCAAGCTGCTGGGGCCGGGGTCTGAACCAAGATTGGCCTGAACCACTGGGCACCAGGGCTGGCCTTTTTTCCTCCCAAGTTTCTTTCTTTCTTTCTTTCTTTTTTTTCTGAACCACGATTGGCCTGCGAAATCTGACTCCCTGAACCACTGGGCACCAGGGCTGGCCTTTTTTCCTCCCAAGTTTCTTTCTTTCTTTTTTTTTTTTTCGGAGAGGTTTTTGCTATAGGGTTCGTGCGCTCACCAGAAAGACAGAGACAGACAGAGAGAGAGAAAGCGAGAAATCACCCCCCAGGGGGGATGGCCACACCGCAATCCCTTCTCCTCCATTCTCCTCTCAGGGTCTTGGGCACACATGCACACATGCCCAGCGTGAGTTTAAGCCACCCGGTCCAGGACTTGACCCTCAGTCAACTACATGGGAGTCCAGTGACATAGCCATTACGTCAACTGCTGGTCCCCCTCCTAAATTTATTCTCCCGTGAGTGGCAGAGACACAGCACTCCCAACAGGGCCTTGCCAACATGACTCATTCCCGGCCTCAGCCAGCCCCCAGCCATGGCCACACGTGTACCCCAGTATTCAGGGGGGTGTCCACATTCGAACCCGGAACCTTCCTATACAGGTCACCTTGTGCTTCACGGCTGCTCCAGCCTCTGCCCCCATCCCTTCTGGAGTGGGGGCAATGATTAGAACACCGTAAGGAAGGTGTCCGGGCCAGGAGCCTGAAGGGAAGACCCCTCACTTTCCCCCAGCCCTCACCTGCAAGGCGTGCAGGGCGGCCCCGAGGCGCTGGCGGGCCAGGGTGTGGTCAAGCGTCCTGGCTGCCGCCAGGGTCTCCCGCAGAGCCCCCACCAGGCGTGTGCGGCCCTGGTGCAGCCGCTCGGCATCAAAGTGCAGGTCGGGGTCATTCCTCGAAGTGGGCAGGAAGTCCTGGGCTGCGTTGGCACGAGACACCTCACCTAAGGCGGCTCGGAACCTCCGGGAAGGAGCCCCAGGCCCGAAGTAGGCGGCGAAGAGGTCGTCGGCAAGCAGGGTGCGGCCCTGGAGAGTTTGTGGGGACGGGCTCCAGGGAAGTCCCTTGGGTGGGTCGCTGCCACGTTACTTCGGCAATGGCACCCAAAGCAGGGTCTGGGACCGAGGGTGCTGGGCCGTTCGGGGGAGCACAGGCCTCCTGAGTCCAGGGCCAGGACTGCAGACAGGCTGCTGCTGCCAGCCCGGGGGGGTGGTGGGCAGGTGAGCAGGTGGGGAAAGGGGTGTCTCTTCCCCTGGCGACCGGGGCTCTCAAGGAGGGAAGGTCTCAGGGAACATGGGACTCACGGGGATGCGATGGGACCCAGGAATGCTCACCAGGAAGTCCTCGAGACGAAGTGGGGGCCGGCCTGGGGGCGGCTGCTCCAGGAAGAGCTGCAGGGTGACGTTGAGGGCTGCCTCCTCTGTCAGGTCCTGGTGCGTGAGGGAGCCAGGGGCAGCCAGGAGGCTCCAGATGTTGGGGAAGAAGGCACACGCGGGAGGCAGCAGCAGCTGGAGCAGCAGCAGTGCTGGGGGGCCCCGGCGGGAGGGGGGCGCCTCCACCGGGGGCATGGCTGAGGCATGGACCTGGGGACAGAAGGTTCTGGAGATGGGAAGCAGCTGGTCCCAGGGCAGTCCTGGCTGCTCATCTCCACGGCACCTGCTCTGGCCTTGGCGTGCCCTGCCTCACCTCTCCCGCTGCCACCAGACAGCCGAGGGCCTTACCAGGCCAGGAGGGACCAAGGCTCCTGCTACAGCACCCCCTTCTCTCAGGCCTGCCCTAGGGCCACCCCAGTCTGTCTCCACTCAGGCCTCTCCCCTACCTGGTTGCTGGGTCTCCCGGGAGGCGCTGGCCGGGGCGTGGCGTCACAGGGTGCTTAGGTCAGAGTTATAATTAACCAGGCTCAGTGGAGGGGGAGGGAGGCCGCAGCGTGGGGGACAGGGCCAACAGCCTCTGGCCCCTCTACTCATGCCTGCCCAAGGCCACAAGCACCAGGGCTGGCCGCCCTCGCTGCCGTGCGGAGGTGAGTGAGAAGCGCCAGGGAGGAGGGAGAGCAGCGTGACTCAGGCCTGGCACAGTGCCAGGGACGGACCAAGGCAGACGCACCCCCCTGCCCACCAGGCCCCAGTGCTCGCTCCCAGCCTGCGGCTGAGGACTCGGGAACCCAGCCCTGCACACCCTCCCCACACCACGGCACACAGGCAAGACAGGACTCTGTGGCAAAATATTTTATTGCAGCCATCCCCACGGTGGGCCACGGAGGTAATGCGGAGTGGCGCTGGGCGGTCACAGCATCTTCTGAAACAGGGCGATGGCCTCATCCACCTTCCTGAGCTCTGCCTCCGTCTGCTGAAGCTGGGGTGGAATGAGGACACGTGGGTGGAGGACCCAGGGAGAGAGGAGACCCCCTCCCCAAACACCCGGGACAGCAGAGAGGTCAAAGTCGGACCACGGCAGGGGAGTGGTTCACGAGGTGGCTGGTCCCACCCCACCCCCATTCTCACCGGTTCCCTCCAACACGCCCTCCTCCACCACAACCCAGCCTCCTTTCTTTCTTTTTTTTTTTTAAGAGGTTTTTGCTATAGGGCGCGTGCACTTGCCAGAGAGACAGAGAGACAGAAAGCAAGAAATCACCCCCCAGGGGGGATGGCCACGCTGCAATCCCTTCTCCTTCATTCTCCTCTCAGGACCTTGGGCACGCACGCACACGCGCCCAGCATGAGTTTAAGCCACCGGGTCTGGGGCTTGAACTGCAGTCGACTACATGGGAGCCCAGCGACATAGCCATTACGCTAACTGCTGGTCCCACAACCCAGCCTCTTGACCTTGCCTTTCCTAGAACGGCCAGTCCTCAAGGACAAGAGGCTGGCAGCCCACGTGCTCCCCTGGGGTCCTGGCCCCAGACCCCCGCCTGTGCAGCAGGGCCCACTCCCAGGCAGGTGTGCACAATGGAGGTGCTAATACCACACGGACTAGGAAAGCCACGCGGATAAACCACGTCCGGTCAGGCCCTCGAGCCCCTTAGCCTCCGTTACTGTTCTCTGCGTCTGTGCAGTTACCCAGCTGCTCCTCCCAGGGGACCAGTCCAGGGGGCCAGGAAATAGCCAGACCCTGGGCACGTGGGAGCCCACATGCTGGGATAGGTGTGGTCTGGCTGCCAGGCAGATGCCTGGTTCTAAGTCCCCCCATATCCCCTGCCTAAGGGCTTGGGCCCTGCGCGCCCCCAGGTTCCCAGGGCTGTTCAAGTCCAGCCTTGGAGCCAGAGATCGAGCTGCGGTGGGGAAGATGCCCGCCACCACACACCTTGGCCTCGTCGGCCTCCTGGACTTCGAGGGGCACCTTGACGGGGTAGCCAGAGGCAGCCCGGCGCTCCCGCAGACGCTGAGCCTGCCGCTGTGCCTCACTGCGCTTGGCCTGCAGCTTGCCCAGCTCCCGGGCCGGGTCCACTAGCCCCTGCAGCTGCAGGTGGATGGAGCAGCGGTCAGAGGCCAGGGCCACCGCGCAGCCCTGTGGAGCAGGGGCCCCCAGGGCCAGGACAGCCACCACGCCAGCGCTGGCCAGCGCCTGCACGTAGCCCGACACTGCTGAGGCCAGGGCGCCCGTGGCCTCGTCAGCCACTTCCAGGAAACCTGCGGGGAGGGAGGAAGGTGAGGCCGAGTCCCAAGGAGACAGGAGATGGGACAGCCAGCTGAGGGGACGGGGCAGGCAGCCCCGGGGCCTGAGGCTCACAGTCGGGCCGGATCCGCGTGAGGTTGTAGTCGGCACGCAGGGAGCGCACCGCTCGCGTGATGCTCAGCGCCAGCTCCAGGGCGGCTTCCGCCTCGGGGTCCTTCCAGGAGCACTGCGGGGTGGGAGAGCGGGTGAGGGAGGCCTGGCGGGGGCTCAGAGTGTCCCCACCCACCATACCCCATACCTCCGAGGGCTCTGGGTACGGGGTGACGCAGAGACTGGGAGGAGCCTGCGGTGTCCTCCGGGGCAGCCGCTGGAACAGCTCCTCGGTCACGAAGGGCATGAAGGGTGACAGCAGCCGCAGCCCGACGTCCAGGCAGGTGTAGAGCGTCTGGCGGGCACACTCGGCCGCCACCTGGTCTGCCCCGCTCAGCACGGGCTTCAGGCACTCCTGGGTGAGGAGGAACAGGGCTCACTGCGCGCGAGGGCTGGGCCAACCCCGCGAAGTTGGGCACCGGGCGCTGGGCTGTGCGCCCCCGCCCCCGGGCTCCTCACCAGGTACACGTCACAGAGCTCGTACAGCCAGAAGCTGTACTGGGCGGTGGTGACGGCTGGGAAGTCGTAGGCCTGGAAGCCCTGGTTGCTGAGCCTCACGGCCTCGGCCAGCCGGCTGCGGATCCAGCGGTCCACCAAGCTCTCGTGGCCTCCAGGCTGGGGGGAGGGGGGATCAGCCTGCGGCCAGCCAGGGCCCCCCGGGGGCAGGAGCCGCTGGGGTCCAAGACAGCCAGGCACGTACCCCCACCTGGGGGAGGAGGCGCAGGCCCCCGGCCACCTCGGGGAGGACCCGAGGCCCTGGGCTCTCCCTGGGCCTGTCTCTGCCCGTCGGGGAGGACCCGAGGCCCTGGGCTCTCCCTGTGCCCGTCTCTGCCCCTCGGGGGGGACCCGGGGCCCCGGGGTCTCCCTGTGCCCGTCT